CCTCCCCCCGCCCCCCCCCCCCCCCCCTCCTCAATTCGTTCTCGACCGGGACACGCAACTTTGGCAAAATATCCCCAGCCGCGCTTCCCCATCGTGTGCTTCCCACCCCTCGGGATCTCGTGAGCGCTCCAGCTTTTCTTGGCCTCGCCTCCGCCCTCTCCGATTTTTGAGGAGGCCATGCCTGCCATACCAGGGCCCGCCAGAGTTTGGACAATAGGGATGTGGCCTGGGAAGAAGAATAGAGAGAAAAAAAAAGGGGGCAAGAAGGATACGTCTCATACGCACAGCAGCGGACAATGGAGAGGTATTAAGACCAGAGTGCCGGGCGCTTCCGCAGGCGGCGGCGCAGCCCCTTTGGCTCCTGCCGGTGGCTCTCACCCTTCCTTTCGGGAAAGCAGTCGATCGCCGATCACTTACTGGTTACAGAACGCTAGAGCTGACACCGACGGCACGCTCCGTGCTCACCCTCCGTCTGGCCGCCACCCACACTCTTTTACTCTCTCTCCCTCACCTGCTCCAGCCGCCCTGGGTTCTATACGACGTCCTGCGGCCCTGTTTCAGTTCCCCTCACACATCCCGCTTTGGCGATGCAGTTGTAGAGGTACCCCGCCATATCGTTGATACATAATCCGTATTTTGCCGGCCACCCTCAACCTCCCTTGGCGACCCAGCATATCGCCCTGGAGGGCCTGGTCGATATTTCCTATACTACACCCTAATTTGCCTGCCTGCCTATAATCAATCCTGCGCTGCCAGCCACACAGACAACCTCCAGCTCTCGCGTTACAAGAGGAGGTCATCAATGTTTAGAAGGGACGAAGGAGGCAGCACCGCCGGCGGGTCTTCGGAGGAGGCCATCGCGCTGCGGCGGTCTCTCATCATCGTATCCAGCGTCCTCGGCGCCACCATCATAGCCATCCTGGCCGCCGTGGCCGCCGTTGTGCTCCGGAGGAGAGGCCGCCGTCGGAGGGCCTACGACGCCGCCCGCGCCAGAGACCCGTACCTCACCCGCCCGGAGTACGACGACGACCACCGCCGCCGCCGCCGCCTGCGCTGGCTGACGGCCTCTTCGCCTTGCCCGAACCACCCGGACCGGCGAGGCGGCAGTGGCGGCGGCGGCGGCGTGGACGTGGAGGCGCAGCGGAGCGAGATGATCCGCAAGTCGCTGCAGAGCCGCTCCATGGTCAACATGGCGGGTGCTGCGAACCAGGACGCCCCGCCGACGCCGTCGATCCCCCACCCGTTTGCCGCCGTCGCCGCCGCCGCCGCCGCCGCCGACCCGGCAGCAACGACAGAGTCCCTGGTAGTCGCCCCCAAGCCGGCCCGGACGCGGTCGCGCACCTGGCACGGCGGGCGGCTCCCCAACGACAGCGACGACGACGACGACGACGGAGACGATGAGGACGGCGGCCGCGGCGACAGGGGAAACGGCGGCGACGACGTGCGCTCGGCGCAGGCCCGCGTGGACTACATGTGGCAGCTGCTGAACCGCAAGGGCGGCTACCCGTCGTCGTCGTCCCCCTCGCCCGCCGCCGGAAACGACGACGACGACGACGACGACGACGACGACCCGGCGCCCCGGCCGCCGACAATCAGGCTGAAAACCCCTCCGCTGCTCTCCCACCCGGCCTTTAGGAACTGGAGTAGTGCCGGCTATAGTGGCGATGGGTCGAGACCCAAGACGCCCAAGCACTCGAGCCTGCCTACGGAACTCATGGCCATCCGGCCGTCACCTTTATAATGCTAGTCTTTTTTTTTGTTTATCTTTTTATTGGTGGTTCCTTTGTCATAATACCCATTCTCCCTCTATCCATTTGATAGCGTCGAGGATATATATACCGGAGGAAACACACGGCCGGCTTTTGGAAAATGTGCGCGGGAGTCTAGGTTTGGGTTTAATCGAGGATACCGTGCTGGCGGACAAGACGGTAATGTATGTAGCTATGCTAATGAGTTTACGAGCAGCGTTGAAAGGTACTCAAGGTAGTAATTAGACTTTCTTTTTGGTACTGATAGGACAGACAGACCCGTTGAGATTAACAAACCCGCCCGCCCCCTCAGTACGCCACCAAGCCCGCCGAGCGTCGCCCCCGCCGGCACGCCGCTCGCCGAATGCGCCTCCGTGTGGATTTTAATTCCGTACCGGAACCGTCACACGTGCACCTCGGACACTCGCAGCTGGCCGTCGCACCAACTTGGTAGCATAGGTAACCGCTTTGTATTTTTTGTTTCGCCCTTGGGCCTAAAACGCAAACCTCATGCCCGGCCTGGCCAGCGTGATGACCTTCTTCTCTGTAAAGGCCTCGACGCCCGACATGCCGCCGAAGCGGCCGTACCCGCTGCCGCCGCCGGTGCCGCCGTTGGGCAGCGTCGACTCGACGTAGATGGTCGGCCCGTTGACGTGGCAGGTGCCCGCGCGGACCCGGCGCGCCAGGTCCATGGCCGTCATGACGTCGCGGGAGAAGACGCTCGCGCAGAGCGAGTAGTCGCTGTCGTTGGCCGCGGCCACGGCCTCGTCGTCCGTGTCGAACTCGGCCAGCATCAGCACGGGGCCGAACACCTCCTCGCGGCGCATGCGCGCCGAGGGGCCGACCCCGCTCAGGACGTGCGGCCTCACGATGGTGCCGCAGGGCCCCGAGGTGGCCAGGTCGCCGGCCAGCAGCTCGGCGCCGCCGGCGAGCGCGTCCTGCACCAGCTCGAGGACGCGGAGCGCGTGGGCCGGGGTGAAGAGGCCCGAGACGGACACGGCCGCGTCATCGAGGTGGTTGCCGCACCGCAGGGCCGCGATGCGCGCCAGCACTTTCGTCCTGAACTCGGCCGCCACGGAGCGGTGGACGATGGCGCGCTCCGTCGACATGCACACCTGGCCCGAATACGCCAGCGCGCCAAAGACGACGGCCTCGACGGCGTCGTCGAGGTTCGCGTCGGCGCGCACGATGACGGGCGCCTTGCCGCCAAGCTCGAACACGCACTGCTTGAGGCAGGCGGCCGCGTGGCCGGCGATGATGCGCCCGACGCGGTCGCTGCCCGTGAAGTTGACGCGCAGCACCCGCGCGTGCTTGACCGCGTACTCGGTCACCTCGGCCGCGCGGCCCGGCGACGTGGGCAGGAAGGCGATGGCGCCCGGCGGCAGCCCCGCCTCCAGCAGGGCCCGCACCACCAGCGCCTGGCTCTTTGGGCTGTGCTCGGACGGCTTGACCACGACCGTGTTGCCGCACATTAGCGGGCAGGCCACGGACCTCGCCGTCAGGTTCACGGGCGCGTTCCAGGGGCTGATGGCGAGCACGACGCCCACGGCCTGCCGCTCGACCAGGATGGTCGTCCCGGGCCGGTCGGCCGGCACCACCTCGCCCCGGATGTGGGTCGCCAGGCTGGCCGTCTCACGGAAGAGTCCTGCCGTGGCGTGCATGTTGATCCTGACCCATGCTGCCGTGGCCGAAACCTCCGAGGACAGGACCTCGGGTGCGTCGCCCCCGAGGTACGACTCGATGATTTCGGCGGCCTTGAGGAAGATGAGTCGCCTGGCAGAAGGCCCTGTGGCGGACCAGCTCTTGAAGGCTTCGTGTGCCGTATCGATGGCTCTGCTGTAGTCGTCCACAGTCGCGTTCGCACACTCGTATATGGCCTGGCCCGTCATCGGGTTCCGGACCGTGAACGTGGTTCCATCCGAGCTTGGCTGGGCCTCGCCATTGATGACGAGCTCTTGGGCCTGCGACAAGGCCGATGGCCCCTTTTCTGCAACTGGGTGAGCCACCATTTTCGAGTGATATGTCGGCACGGAGAAGACGCTTCGTGGGCCCTCGAATCTGCAAGCCAGGTGTTTTCCTAGCCGGTGTTTTCTTATGCAAGATTGATGTGTGCCGGTATATTGCTGTTCGACTGCCAGAGATGATGCTTCACTCTCATTGCTTCCCCAAGTCTCGACGGCGTTATGGTTCCGGGGCTGGTGGAGTTAACACAGCCAAGGAGGCGTGAGGGGTCCCGTCGGCAGCAGCATCCGACCCGTCATCGGCATGGAATAACCCCGCAGACGTGAGCATCCAGCTCAGGGGTAAAAGTCGTGCAGGATCAAACGAGAAAACCCGCGGCAGTCCTGCTGCCGACCGTGCTGGTGCTGCAATCATGATATTATCTGTTTAATCAGGTTGGTACGAAAACGGGCAGGTATGGACGGGAGCCACGTGCCGCTTACTCGCCTACATCGCGCCTTCCTGTATGATCTGTTGGTAAACTTCGCACGCACAAATAACAAACCAGTATGTGGCACTTATTCTGTTCTGGCCTACATCTTCAACCCCTAGCCCCCAGCCCAAGACTGCCCCTTGTTGTCAATCCAATCGTCAACATGCACGCTGGATTACATTCTTCACTACGAAAAAAGAAAAAAAGAAGAAGAAAAAAACAAGGACACCTTCGCAGGCTATCGCCTCGGCTAAGCCGAACTGAGAGTACCGTTGCCCGCGTTCTCCTGGGCCAGCGTGGCGATCATCTTCTTCTGGGCGGCGGCGTACTCTTCGGTCGACGACAGGGCCTTGAGATCGGCCTCGCAGGTCGTGTCGGCGGGCGGCAGGCGCCCGTGGAGGAAGTAGTCCCTCGTGGCGCGATACGCGCAGGTGGACCAGAGCGTGTACGAGCAGTGGCCGGGGCCGGCGCGCTTGAGGAGCACGCTCCCCTCGAGGCCGGCGCTGACGTTGCGGGCCGACGCGAGCGGCGTGGTGGGGTCGAGCTCGGCCGAGAGCACCAGGACCGGGTTCTTGGTCTTGACCCTGAAGTCGCCCAGGTACCGCTCGGCCGCGTGGTAGGGCCAGCGCGCGCACGTCATGTAGGCCCCCGTCGCCGTGTCGCCTGTGAGCCAGCTCACCTGGTGCGTCGGCTCGATGGCGGCGGCGAACTCGTCGAGGGTCTCGTGGCGGGGCACGCGGTCGGCGCAGCGGATGGCGTGGATCGCGTAGCTCTCCTCGCTCCCATCGGAAGGCGGCGTGCTGGCGGACGGTAGCAGGGCGGCCAGGTCTGAGGGGTCGGTCACGATCGCGTCCATCAGCGCGGCGAGGCTCGTCCACGTCTCCGGAATGTAGAGAAGGAAGAATATGGTGGACTTGACTGTAGAATAGTCGACCGTCACCGACATTTCCGGGACGGGGACGGGGTGATACTTCAGCTCTTGAATCTTGCCACGGATGAGGCGTTCCAGGTCGTCGGCTGTGGCGTTGGGCCGACGTGTGAGCAAGGGGCAGCCGACTCCCAGTTTGACACACTCGTCGAGGAAGTAGCGGAATGTCGCGTCCGTATCAACATAGCGCTCCGCCTCGCTATGTTGCAGGAAAAAAAAAGGCAGCATTAGCGAGTTGGATATCAAGGGTATGACGAGGCGTAACCGAGGCTAGAATGGGTGCAAACTTACTACGCTCGGTAATAGTCGGACGGGTTGACCACGCCGTCCAGGATCAGCTTGTCGATGCGGTCCGGGAACATGGCCGCCACCGTGGCCCCGAGCAGGGTGCCGTACGAGAACCCCCAGTACCTCAGCATCCCGTCCTCTCCCAGCGAGTCCACGATGGCCATCATGTCGCGGGCCACGAGCGCGGTGCCGGTGAAGTTGCCCCGCGCCTGGGCCTCGGGCGCCTTTGCGCAGGCCGCGGCCCGGAGCGACGTTGCGGCCCACAAGGAGCCCATGGCCGCGTCCGAGGAGTTGCCGGCCATCAAAGTGCGGTCTCCGATGATGACTTTGGACTTGGCCTCGGCCGGGTTCGTCATGTTGAAACAGGATAAGGGGATGGTGTTGAAGACGCCCCTGGGATCGAACGAAATGAGGTCATGGTGACCGCCGGTAGCCCTGTTTTCGTCCTTTAGTCAGGCCCACTGGAGAGAAAAAACTGCAAATCGGACGTGAAGTGGTTCACTTACGGAGAGAGGTAGGCCCCGGTAATGCTCAGGTCGACCCTACCGGAGGCGCCGGGCCCACCTGGGTTGGTCAGGATGCTGCCCCTGGACGGCTGGTGGACCGCGGGCCACTTGAGCAGCTCCAGTGTGACGGTGCCCGCCGAGGCGTTTTTATAGTCGAGCGGCACCGTCAAGTTGCCACAGACGACAGCCGGGTTCGAGGCGTTGAGCTTGAGCTCTGGCGGGCATGGCCCCCACGAGATCTTGCCCTCGGTCCGGCCTTGGACGAAGCCGCTCTCGCTGCCGATCCCCGAGACGGGAGAGGAGGCAGCGGACGCGGCGGCGGCTAGGGCCGTGGCGAATGTGGTGAGGCGTGGCATGTTGTATACGGACGGTCAAGGGCTTGCGAAAAGCCGATCCTCTGGGTGGTGGGTGATGTGCTGCGCGTTGGGCTTCCTTGATGTCCTGGCATCTCTAGATAGCCCACCGCTGCTGGCACCCGCTCTTTATACCCATTTCTCGCTGCTGGGTCGCCGGTATACGTAGCCGTCCATCCTGGCGGCTGTGTTTTGCTGTTCCTCGAGCGGAGCCATCTTGACCATGCATCATAATGAGCCCAAGGCTGCAAGGTCCCCCGTACTCCAGGCTATGCGGCCGAATACGCGTATTGAAATACGCGTATTCGAATGCGCGCGGGGCTGTGTGCTTCGCCCGACACTTGACAAGGGAATTAGTGCGGTCAGATTGTCTACCTAGTTGTCTGCCTACCTCCCTAAATACCGGCAATCGCGACGAGAGCCGAGCTGCACGCAGCCGCCACTCGCCATTCAGAATTCAGGAGCGTTCGGCACATTGGCCAAAACAGGATGTAAGCGGCGTTAAACAAAAGGCAGAATCCTCGGGCTCGACCTCCCTTGCTTCCCAACGCGCCTTTCCCGTTCGCAATGATGACATCTATCCAGAGATACTCTGACAATAACCTGTACAACCAATGATATACAAGCAATGAGAAATGGGGAGGAAACAGTAGCACAAAAGGGCTCGAGAAGACTGGCGTCGCTCACAAAGCCTCAAAAGGGGGCTCACGTCACCAGTCCAAATCTCGAATGTCTCTCTCCAAAAGGAGGTAAAAAAAAAAAAAAGAAGACCAAACAAGGCTCCTGTATGCTCAAAAAAGGATTTGGCGACAACATTCCATGATATTGACAATCCGTCGGGACAGACCAGCAGCATCATCAGTTGACAGACTTCCGGGGCGAAGCGCGCTTCTTGTTCTTGGCCTTCTTGACAATCTTGACCTTCTTGGCCTTGGGGCGGACAGGGGCCTCGTTCTCCCGGCCGCTGCAATCCTCGCTGCCGCTGCTGTCGCTGCTACTGCTGCCATCACGGCCGTTGCCAGCATCGCCCTTGCCACTGCCCGCGGCCCGGTTGGGCGAGGAGGAGGAGGAGGGGCACCGGTCCGAGTCGCTGTCGGAGGAGGCGCCGCTCGAACCGCCCGCATCGGACCCGGAGGACAGCGGGATGTCTATCAGGCGGGCGGGCGCGTTGGCGCGGGCCATGCCCATCTGCATCACCCGCGCCATCATGCCGTACGTCCTGGTCCCGTGCTGCTTGAGCATGGCGCGAATGTCGCCGCGCATCCGCTCGACCGCGGCGCGGATGAACTTCCTGGACGCGCCCGAGGACGACGCCTTGGGCTTGCTGTTGCACTTCTTCGTCAGGCGCTTCACCTCGCCCACCAGGTCCCGGACCTCGCCGTCGTTGCTCTCGACCGTGAAGCGGAGGTCCGCGTTCTGCTTCATCAGGGCCTTGTTCTGGTCCGACAGGGCCCGGTTCTTGTCCTTGAGATCGTGGATCTCGTTGACGAGGTACCGGTTCTGGTCCTGCAGGTCATCCAAGGCCCGGCCCATTTGGCCAGGAGGGCCGTTCCTGACGGAGCCACCGCCGCCTTGGTCGTGGCCGGGGACTTGGTGCCGGACTTGAATGGGCGCTCGCGGGTCGTACGGCCGGGGATGGGACTGGTTGCCGTTCGGCGGCGCACGTCCGTAAGCATTGACGACAGCATCATAATAGCCATGGGTTTCGTCGTAGCCCGGCTGGCCATGTGGCGGCGCGCAGTATTGAGGGTGGTTGCCGTGGCAGTGGCCAGGGTGGTTGCCTTTGCAAGGAGGAGGCAGATCCTCGCCGTCGCCCGAGTCCGAATCCGAGTCCTCACAGTCGTGAACCTCTCCCATGTCCTGATCGTCTTCGTAGCGTCCATTCCACGCCCCGTCGGGAACCTGGCTCCGGTACTGCGGGAGCACCGCCGCGGTCACGTCGTTGCGCATCTTTCCAATCTTGCGCAGGCGCTCAAACCTCTGGTTGTCCAGGCGCATGTCCATGGCCAGGTCGCGGCCGCCGTCGGGGAACCGCGAGTGCATCTCGCTCCACCGGAGGGGCCCGTTGTGGACCTTGACCCCGTCCGCCCCGAACTGCGCCTCGACGACCTTGAGGCTGGGGTGGCCGTGGTGGTACTCGAGGCCCGTGTGCTGGCGGTACTCCTCCCACTCGGCCCGCGCCAGCTCCAGCGCCTGCGCGACGGCCGAGTCCCTCGGGTCCTCGGCCGCCATCGGGCCCCCCTCGTGCTTGAAGAAGCGCTGGTACGAGGAAGGGTACTCGGAGAAGCGGTCGTCATTGCTGAGGTCCCACAGCGGCAGCCTCGTCTGGCCGCCCAGCTTGTTGGCCGGCGTGTCGCCCAGGGCCTTGGCCGCGATGGCGACCCGGATGGCGTCCTGGAGGAGCTCGGCCTGGTGCTCGAAGGGGGCCTCCTTGAGCCGCCTGGAGCTCGGGGCGAAGAGCGGGCAGTGGGCGCCGTTGCGGATGAGCTGCGACATGTACGTCGCCTTGTGCTGCCAGCGGATCGTGTAGCCGTTGAACCACCAGTCGCGGATGGCCGTCAGGTTCGGCGCCTGGAAGTTGCTAGGCCTAGCCTGCGTCATCAGGTCCAGGATCTTGTCCAGCTCCGGCTGTGCCTGATACCGCGGGGCCGAGACCAGGATGTCGGCGAGCTCGTCGATGGTTGTGTCCGGCAGGGACCGATCCTCGGCCGAGAGTTGAGCCTTGATGCCCTTGGCAATATCGGCAGCCTTGCTTCCTGCGTCGGTTCCTGCGTCGGCGCCGTCTTCGACGCTATCGACCAAGGTGTCATCATCCTCCTTGCGCCTCTTGTCCGGCCGCTCGGACGCGCCCGACGCCTTTCGCTTCGGCGTCTCCATCGCGAGGACTAACGGGTTGGGTGGAAAGTTCTGCGGGCGGGGGTTGGGTGAGGGAGATGTGAAGAATGAGTTGTGACAGAGATCTGATAGTGAGGGAATGACAGAAGGAGCGCGTCCGAAAAAAAGCTTCAGAAGAGTGAAGACAGATTAGATATCAAGGACTAGAGACTCGTCCTGCAGCGAGATAGCTCATCTGCGACGGCAGCAAGTTTTCCGTCTGGGCAGGATGGGTGAAGGGGGAGGTTGTGAAGGTGGTTGCGTTGGTCCAAGGAGGAGGAGGAGAAATCTTTAAGCTGGTGGATGCAGTTATAAGTGGGTCAGAGGAGAAGACTTCAGACGGCACAACATTGCAAGACCTTTTTCCTCGACAATTCTTTTATTTCTGCCATTGGCACTTTGTGCACGCCCTAGGCCATAATCCCATCATCTCCCTGCCCAGCAACGGCGGGCAAACGGGCCCCCACGGCGCACAAGACACTGCGTGTCCATAAACAACGTCAGATACCATTACGGGCCTCACTTGTACCCTTTTGGCTGCGCCGGCCGCCGGCGTCGGTCAATGCCGAGTAAACGGCCGGTCCAGAGCCCCTTCACCGTCAGTCCCAGGTTCACGAGCATCAGGATGACCAGGCAGATGGCCAGCACGGTCGACCAGGTCCTGAAGAACCTCGAGGCCAACACCTTTCCTAGCCTGACTGCTGCGTTGGTGTACACTCCCTGTTTCCGGTCAGCACGATGGCGTTCAAGTTTTTGACATGGATTTGAAACAGAAGACCCGGGCAAGCATGTCCACCTACCCATGGGAACACCAACGCCCACACGGCCAAGGAATATCTCTCCGTCTCCTCGTACACAATGCCGTCGGCGTCGCTGGCCGACCTGGCTTGTCTGCTGTGCCTCCAGGCGCGGAAGAGGTGCCGGACCGTGCTCATGACGGCAAAGGCCCACCAAAAGGTGCCCGCGCTCCAGCTCAGGAAGCCCAGGAACACGCTGCTGTACCCTAGCACGTTCACCATGGCCTCGCTGACCACGCCGCCCGCCATGTAGGCCGCCAGCGCGGGCGCGTTCTTGAGCAGGGCCTGCCCGAGCGCCTGGAGCGCGAAGCTGCCCTGGCCCCAGGGCCCGCAAAAGATCATCTCCTGGTACACCTTGCCCCGGGCCGGGGGCGAGCCGTCGACGAGGCGGACGAGGTACATGGTGGCGTAGGCCATCGCGATCGGGACGGCCAGCGCGAGCGAGAAGTACGAGAAGAATAGGACGGGCGCGCGCAGGTCCTCGCGGCCGTCCAGGTACGGGCTGCCGCCGACCGTGCCGCCGCCGGCCGCGAGGGTGATGGCGGCCACCATGGGCAGCTGCGTGTTGGGCATGAGGCTGGCGACGCCCGGCGCGTGCGCGTGCGGGATCGAGTAAGGGATGAAGATCATGGAAGCCACGGCCAGCACCATGTTGAACCACCACAGCGACACGGCAGCCATGGCCCAGTCGCTGCTCGAGCCCGCCGCCGTAAGGGCGATCATCTGCACGATGGAGGTGAAGGCGATGGAGATGCTCGACATGCACGTCAGCTCGGCCGGGTCCGAGCCCAGCAGGCCGAGGACGTGCCGCGGGAACATGGCCAGCCGGAGGGCGTACGCGAGCAGCATCAGCCCGAGGCACACCGTCGTGAAGGCCCACACGACGTACGATATCACGTCCAGGCCGTCGAAGCGGGACTCGAGCGAGAAGAGCACGATCGAGGTGATGCCGGTCCCCTGGGGCACGAGGAACCACTGCGATGAGAAGTTGCGGATCGCGGCGCGCACGGGCGACAGCGGAGCCGGGTCCGGATCCGAAGCGGCAGTCGGGGCGCCCAGCTCTTCTGATAACGAGGTCCTCGACGGCGTTGTTTGTAGATCGGCCGTTGATCCCGCCGAGTTTACAGACTCGGCCTTGGTCATCTCTGCCTCCGGGTCTGCTTCGTGCTGTGGTATCCTCAAGCGCGCCATGCTGGGCAACGGGCCGACGTTGGGAGGAGCGCTGTCGTCTGATGCGCGTGAATGTCGAGCCGACGGTGGTGGGAGACGAGTGTCTGTCATGATGTTGGGGCTTGGCTTGGGGAAGTGAAGCAGCCTGGGGGCTTGTCGAATCTCGACTTCTCGAATGCTGAGAAGGAGGAACGAGATATCTGCCACAGAAAGGGCCGGTCGGGTGTTGGTGGCTTGAAAAGCCAGAGGGATGTTGCCGCCGTGGTTGGCCTCCAGGCTCACAGGCGGCCTGCCCTTGCCACTGTGGCCACCTTCAAGTACCTGGCAGGGAGACTTGGGGATATTGTTCAAATGCTGGAAGCCGGGCAAGCCCCAGGGCGTTTGTGAAGGCCTGCTCAGCTTTAAGAATGTGTGCTGGCCGTGGACAGCTCGGATCACGGCTGGAGGTCAGTCGGAAGGCTTGCGGCTCGTGCGGCTCTCGTGGAGTGTCAGGACCGAGTGTCTGCGTCCATAGTCAGCTCGTGGCTCCAACAGCTAGCGAGCGAACAAGTGGGCTGGAGGCATGGATGCCGAGGTCCAAGGCGCTGGAGTGTTCTGGCACGCACTCGATTTTCTTCTGCGGCAAACTTTTTTTTCTTTCTTCACACCGATTTCTTTATCCCGGCTTGTTTTCACGGGTCTCCCCATCCGGGCGGACTGCTGCATCCAGCCCCCCTCGGCCTGTCCACGTCTTGGTGACAGCGAATATACGGCGCACACGCATACAACACACTGTTTGGCACCAAACGTCCGCCCGCCGTCAGGACAGCGAGCATATGGCGACTGACAAGGGTGAGCCCTGCAGGGTCTCCATTGGAGGGGGAAGCTCAAGGGGGCCGCTCCTCCACTCGGCCGAAGGCACGCATGTTGACTTTGCCCTTCCGTTTCCATGAAGGGGGCACGACGGCGGTCAAGGATTAGCCATTGGCTGCAGCATCATCCGAGGGCAAAGGGAGGAGGCTCGCAAAAGGCAACAAACATTGTCAGAGCGGCACCAATAACGAGCAGAGAGAAAAGAAGGCCAAGGAGAGCGCCGCGCGCCGCCCGGGGAAACAAAAGCTTTGGTGCCGGCGAAATGGACAGGCATGCTGACGAGATGAGAGGGTTTGGAGCGCCCCGAGGCGCGTTGGCGGCCCCGGCAGGTTTTCATCTCGTAAAAATGACGTTGTATTACGAGAGATAAAACACCCAGGTTGCACCCGCAGCTCGCGTCTTTGTATTTCAAAGGGTTCGCCTTAGCAAATCCTGGCCTCATGGCTGCCGCTTCCCTTCTTTTCGACCAAGTGCCAAGTGGGGACCGCGGTTGGGCATGTGCCATCCGGAAAGGGCATCTCCGCGGATCTGCCCGCCTGCACCGTGGTCCTGTGCCCTGGGCACCCCCTGCACCCCGCCATGGGGCACCGTGTGCCTGGATTTAGGCTCCGTGGCTCCTAGCCCTAGGGCTGGGACCAGGAGCACCAAACGCTACCAGACATGTCAAGTCGGACGCGTCTCACGTATGCCCTACCCCAGATCTGCAACCCCCATCTCGCCAAGCGACCGGCGGCATGGGTTTCATCCAGGACGGATATAACATCACATGAGAGAAATGCACCATCGTCAATCGTGCCACTCACTAATAAGCTCGGTTAGATCCGTCAACATGCTTTCTTCTACTTCATTTTACTTCCACATTAGCAACAGCCCTCCTAATAACAAGCCCTGGTTGTGAGCTCAACCCAGAGAGGCGGTGACAACAACCCACGCCATCCTCGCAGGTAGTGCCTCGCCGTTTCGATGGTTGAGCCGGTGATCCGTGGCTTCACTGGTCCAACTCCCGCACATTGTATTATGCTCTGAGTCGCGAAACTCGTCAAATCAAGCAATATAGCAAACGTTTGATTCCTAGGATGGACTCCCCCGGCCGGCTCGGCGCTGATCAAAACCCAACATCATCAGAATCGAAGCCCTCGTAGTCGGTAAATTGGGCTTCGTCCTCCGACCCGTCATCCAGTTCGGAGCTTTGGCAGGAAGAGTCATCGGAAAGCTCGGCCCCATCTTCTTCGTCGTCATCTCCACCATCTGCGCTTCTTTCGGACTCGTCGCTCGACGCGAGCTCGTCGTCGTCGTCAGCAACCTCGAAGAGGTCCCGTTTGTTATACGGTGTGCCTCGCAAGTTGCTGGTTCCGCCAAAGTTGCCCTTGCTCCGTTTGGCCCGTGTGGTGGCGACGCTAGCAGCCGGCTTGGCCGTTGTCGCGTCATCGCGCTTGTTCGCCGAGTCATCCCCGAGGGCTGCCTGTTGCCGGGTCCGTTTCTTCCCCTTACCGCTTTTGCCGACTTGATTCGTCCGAGTCTGCGGCTTCCCACTCTTCTTGTCCTGTTTCTTGTTGCCACTTTTAGTTTTCGTGCTCCTCTTCTTCTTCTGCGAGGCCTTGCCGGCTTTCGCGTTGGCACCTTGCTTTGCCGTGCTCTCACGGTTGGACATCTTCTTTTCCCGTCGGGCAGTAGAGCGCGTGGATAGCGAATTCCTCTGGCCTGCCCACCGGTCGGCAACCTCGTTGGTGCGCTTCCATGTCTGCCGCCTGGCATCCTCCCTCTCAATGCCGCCCTTCCTGAGCAGGGCCTCGTAGTCCGTCTCGACGTGCCGGATGTGGGCCACGACGGCCAGCCGCACCTTATGCTCCATGTCCATCATGGTGGACCGGCCGACCCTCCTGGACCGCTTGACGAGGGCATGGCGCGAGATGGCGGCCACCGAGTCGGCGGGCGCGTGCGGGAAGAGCCGGCGCACCTCGGACTCAAAGGCGCTGGAGCCGGCGTCGTCCTTGGCCCGCACCTGGGCGGCGCGCTTGGCCCGGGTCTGCTGCTCCGCGGCGACGACCTCGTCGTGGATGCCCGAGGGCACGCGGATGCCCTTGACGTTGGCCCTGCCCCTGACGCTGGGGTCGACCACCAGGTACACCGTGGCGCCGGCCGCGTGCGTCTTCTTGCGGCAGTTGGCCGTGATGTATACGTTGCCTCTGGGTACGAACCGGTAGCCCGCCGGAACGGGGGATTTTGGGCTGACCTGCGGCTCCTTGCTTGCCGGCATTGTGTGGGCCAGGCGCTTGGCAGGCTCGTGCTTGCGCGCAAATATGTCGGGCTTTTGAGCTGCGTAGGGCCGAAGATTGAAATGCGAGCGACTTTCGCACCGACACCAACTGGTACCTCGAAATCACTGGGCGAGGCGTGTGATTTTGTTTGCCGGGGAAACTGAAACTGCCCTCATCCGCGAAGAAAGCAGGCAGTCGTTTCCGGCGCGCAGGCAGGGCGCGCGGAATTCTTTATCGTTGCTGCGCTCAACCACAACGCGCGCTCCATTGTCCGGAAAGACAATCTTCGGTCGCGCTGCAAACGGCAGACGCGCCGAATTCTTGATTGACGCTTTTAGCTCGCAATGAAGCGATGGAATGCCCGAACAGCTTTCTGTCGTCGTCCGCGGTCGGGCCAGGCTAGTGCTAGCCAGCCGCTTATGTAATCCCGTCAACATTTACCCCTGAATTGCCCCTGAGCGCCAAGCAACGGCGACTGAAGCCATGACAGGCAAAGATGGACACTGCGATGCACAAAGCACAAAGCACACCAAGAGGGTTTGTGCCTATTTATACGAAAGAACCCACAAGGACTACCAAGAAGGCCTAGTAAAGTAGAGATGGATGCTAGTTGTTTCGTACCTGTTACTGCAAACAGTATTCTGCAAACAGTATTCTGCAAACAGTATTCTGCAAAATCCCCATCCAATCCTCCATTTGAGAAGGTAAAGCAAAGCCTCTTCTTCGACACCCAAGTCGAGACAGAGCTGTTTCCCAGCTTTCCGCATGCTTTTTGCCGCCACCTTAGCACTCCTGCCACTGGAGGTAGTGCACCTGGGTGAACTTGAGATCGGTAGAGTCGACCTGGGATGCAGAGAGCATTGTCAGCGGCTGCGAGTAGCTACAAAACTCCTTCTTCCAGGCGCACAAGTCTTCCTTCAAGATCCCAGACTGTTCCAAGGGGGTTAGCTCTAGGACGGGTCCGCAGCAGCGCTACTTGGGCTTACCGTGAGTAGGACGTTGTTTTTGGTGGCCGACGTGACGCGCACTTCCGAGTTGATGTTGAGCAGGCCTTCGATGCCGCAGGGCGACCAGACGGTGCTCTCGACGCCAAGCTGGTCCGTCTTGAGGTAGTTGTCGTCGAAGGGCCCACGGAGAGTGAGCGTGCTTGAGACCTGTTGCGCCAGGACACGGGCGGCACAGGCCCAGTCCATGTCAGTGAGAGACCCGGTAAGTGGCAACAGACGATGACGATGGGAAAGGCCGAGGGAAGAAGCGCACCTGGCGGCTCTCGCCGGAGAAATAGTAGGTCGCCTTGCAGGTGCCCGTCTCTCCGCGGGGGATCTGCGCGTAGCCGCGGTAGTCGGCCTTGAAGATGCTGAACTGCCAGCCCTGGGGGAAGCGGAGCTTCACGTTCTATCAAGGGGTTTATCCGGTCAGCTAATATGTCTTTTGGTTCATAAGAACGTCTCTCACAACAAATTTCCGTATTTGTGCTATACTTACCAACTGGCAGTTCTTGCGGTTCTCGGTCGCGCCGATGTTCTTGCCAGCCTGGGCGACGAACTTGTCGTAAAGCAGGGTGACGTAGGTCAGATCGCCCGAGATCTGCCCGGCAACGGTCCCAGCCGGGCAGCCCGTGCCCGCGTAGGCGATGCCGATGATGGCCACCTCGTGGCCCGGGGGCTTGGGGCCGGAGGACTGGGGTGCCGGCGCCGAGGCGACGAGGCCGGCGAGGAGGACGAGGGGGGCAATGATGGACGTGTACATTGTGAAGAGTGTGGAGTGTGTGGGCCGAGCTGCTAGAGGTTGGGGATATCAATGAATCTGTATTGGTAGCAAGCCTGGGATGATGTTTGACCTGTTTGATCTGATATTTGTCGAGCTCAGAGGCCATCAGGACTGCTACTTTATAGTTTTCTAGATCCTAGCATTCTAGCACCTCACGCACCTACATGGTGACTTTTTCAGCTCAGCTCCGCCCAGCAGAGATGTTACGGGCGTTAGGCCCCGTGAGCAGATAGATTAGATAGAGAGGAGCCCCTCACCGGAGTGGGGCCCAGAGGACCACCCGCCCAAAGGGTGGGGCCCCCCGCACGAGATATTTCGTGCGGCCCTCATGACCTCACCTACCTACCACTTGTACTACTGTTTTATCTGTCCCCTTACTATATCGTAACAAGTGGTAACAACTCTTCCACCTGCAAAAAAACCTATCAATCAATCTCCTTCTCGATTGGTTATCGCGCCATTAAAGAAATCCCTCATTTAATTGGCTATTAAACCGTAAAAAACTCCCCGTTGCGATTAAAATCGCGCGTTTTCCGGAAGGTCCTTGTTGTGATAAGTCAGACCACCAGGTGGTGCCTGGCAGGTGCCGAAGTGGTGTTATTCTACGAAATAAGGAAGAAAGGGAGAGAGTTGGGTCCTTGTCCTTAAAGGGCTCGGAGTGGTTCCTATATACATGAGTCTTGACCCAAAGGGCACCCCTTGGGTCACGTAATCCGTGCCCAGCACGGATTCATAACATTTGCCGATATATTAGTAACAACGTAAATTTAATTTAACGTTTTAATAACGTTTGGGTAATTACGCTAGCCGGCGGGTTATTGCGAAACGTTATTAACGGTTACGGCAATTTAATTAATTTTCGCTTTTATAAAAACGAAAATATCGTTGTTTAAATACTAAAAAACGAAAAGAATACGTTTTAACGGCGTTAAAAAAAAGGACTGGTATAGTTCCATTTATACCCTAAGCAAAAAGCGCTAATTAATATAATATTTTTATTATTAGATTTGGTTTATTCTTATGCCTTTAAATTTTTTAAAAGTAGCGATTCAGGGGCGAATTGCTAGCAATAAAATGGAAGCTTTAAAAAGCTGCGCTAAAAAAACGTATTATTTTTAATATAAATATAGCAAAACTAGGTAATCGCTTAATTTAAGCCCGAAAATTGCAAATCGTTATTTTTTATACCGGAATTATAGTATTAATTATATCCGCTTTTTAACGGCGTATTGCTAGCAATTAATTAATAATTTAAAAGCGGGTTTTTATAACCTTAAAAATGCGCTTAAATTGGGTTTAAGCTTTGTTAAAGCGTTTTATGTATAAAGTAAAGTATAAATTAAAATATTCGTTAAAATCGGTTTAAACAATTTTGCGTAAAAAGTGCAAAATTAAAACCAAAAATACGGCGTTTATGAAAGCGCCGGCTTTAAGTTAAAAAAGCTTGTATTAAAACGGGTATTAACGTTAAGTTAATTACGGGTGAAAAAGTACGTTACCGTTTTACGGGGGTTTCGGCGGAAATGCGTTAAAGCTATTAGCAAAAAAAAGACGGAATATGGTTAAAAGCAAATTTACTTTTTAATTAATATTGGGTATCGAAAATTTAAAGTGCAACAAATTGTTACGGCGCACATTTAGGTATTATGGAAAAGGGTTTATTGTTGCATGAAAAGGAAGCTATTTGGATAAAGCGCTTTTAGCGCTTCGTTGTAGTTTTGTAAGCGCGGTGCTAGCGCGTGGGGAGTGTGGCTTTAGGTTCCTCCTTAGGTGTCCCGACGCGTACTGTAACACTTTGTTCAAAAAAAAAGTTTTTTTATAACCGGCATTTACCCAGCTGCGGTTAATGCAATTACTAACGCGTTATACCCCGTTTTGCACGTAATTTATAACGTTATTAAAAAAGAAATTAAGGTTTTACGCAAATTAAAAATAGCAACAATTTAAAAATGTATTAATTAAATTTATTTCGTAATTAATTACAAACAGGTTAAAACGCTTATTAAGTACGGAACGGCCGCTTTCGCCGCAACCAGCATTGCTATAAAAATAGTTAACGAAACCGCAACCGTTGCTAAAAAGAACCTTTTTGCAAAAAGCCAAAGCAACGTTACTTTACCTCCTTGCTTCGACAACGCCGGCACCTTGCTAAACCCAAAGTTTGCTTTAATTAAAAGCGTAATTAAAGCGGTTATTAAAGCTAGCGCATTATGCCTTTTGTTCCAGCTTGCGGCAAGTATATCCAACGCTATTTTCGCTATTACTTAAGGAGTAAACGTTGGAATCCCCGTTGTAAAGGCTTTTTAAATAAACGTACTAAACGGAAAAGCCCTGGAATTTAGCGATATTATCCTTAACTAAAAGAAAATCCTTAACTTTCCAGGAAAGCTTTTTTAATTCGGCTTTAAACCCCCGCTTAAAGCTTTAAATATGGTTACGGCTAACGGTATTTACATTTACAACCGGATTTATTTTAAATTAAACCGCTTCCAACGCATTTGCGAAAATTATAACATTTAAAACGATAAAAGTAGTTAAATTAACGTTTTGGAAAATAAAATAATGCAAATTTTATTTGTAAAAGGATAAGAAAAATAAGCCGCTTAATTCCGTGTTTAAGCTTACACAATTTCCCAAAAAAACAAGGAAGTTATCGATAAAGATATAATAAAATGCATAAATAAAGCCGGATAACCTTTGTTGAAATTGACAAGTCATGTAAGGTACTACCCTGCACCTACCCTGCACTTCCCCATGTTAATTAGCACAAGTCAAATCTGGAGGCCGAACGCTGAAATCGTTTTGGTAGCCGTGGGTCGATTTTTTGCAATCCCCATACAAAATAATATTGCGGAAAATCGCGCGCGGCACCGCAACCCTTTAAGGGGGAAAACCCTTAAGATTAACGTTGGTGGGTATATAAGGAGAGGCACTGAGTTAGCACCCTCTCCCTGGAATAGCACCTATTTCTAACAACCAACGTGGGCCTGTTAGCACTATATTATAGTGCTTGACAGGCCCGACCCTTGTGAACGTAACCTTATAAATTGCTGTAATCGTGCTACAAAGCCCCAACTTGGACCCTGTAATTTAACAACCTTTATGCATAACCTTGCTCTTTTTGCCTTTTTATATTTCGTTGTATGGAAATAAGTATACGGGGAAAATAAAGTACGAATTGTTGTAAATTTGCGTTTTTTTAACAAATTTTCCGTTTTTAACGCTTACTTACTTCCGTTATAACAAAACTTTATCGATTTTTCCCGTAAAAACGCTATATTACGGTAATTAACGTTATAAGCTTTTTTCCAGTTTTTAATTTATTTATTAAACC